GTCTCTGCGGACCGCGTGCGCCTGTGCAGAGCAGAACTACTGAAGAGAGGAGAAGAGTTTGAAATGAATGCCTGTGGAAACCAATCACTCCCAAAACGCGGATTATTTTGAGAACAGAACTGCATTCTGAGACGTTCCCAAACGTTCACCCCCCAGACATGTTGGAATTTTTTTCAAAAGGTTTATTTTTATTTTCTGTGTATGAGGGTTTTGCCTGTATAATGTAGTGTATATGCACCGTATGCACTCGTAGTGCCCACAGAGGCCACGGGGCATTAGATCTCCTGGAACTGGAGTTCTCGGTGGTTGTGAGCCACCATGTAGGTTCTGGGAAATTTAACTCAAGTCCTCCAGAAGAGTAGCCTGGACTCTTTTAACCACTGAGCCATCTTTCCAGCTCCCAAAGTATTTCTTTATAACCTCTTCAACAAGCTTTTTTGCATTTAATTTTTTTTAACTTTCATTGGAAACTAAGACATAAACATACACATTGGCCTGACTCTGTCCTTTAGAGAGTGTCACCTACCAGTCTGAGTCAGAATTATAACCACTATGGCCGCCCACACATCCTGCCCCACTGAAAGGGCTTCAGGGGTGAGAGTACACACAGGGCTGCTAAGCTAACCAGGCTCTCCTCTGGGGTTCTTGCTGGGAGCCTGCCTGCAGCTGTTAGCTTTTTATAATAATAGTGTTTTCTGAAGCCACAACAGAAGCACAGCACAGCACACACGTCGGTCACTTTGCCAATAAGCACTGCCACATCTCTGCACTTCACAGGGGAGGTTTTTTCAGCCCCAATGCCACTTCACACATGAGCAATGCATTGTGCCTAGACGTTTTGGAGTGTGATGAAGTACAGCCCTAGGAATGTTTCCCCTGCGGTCTACACAGTCAATCGTTGACTGATCGCTACCGCGTGTCAAGTAGATGCATCCATCTCAAGTGCTACAGTGGGCAAGGAAAGGCCTGCCAAAATGAGGGGTGGAGCAACCCAGACTCACAGCCACACACACACACACACACACACACACACACACACACACACACACACGCCCACCTCCCTCCCTGTTATTTTGTTCTCGGGAAATCCCGCCTCCTCCCAGAGCAATTCAGACAATCAAACACTTATCTCATCTGGCAGAATGACTCAGGGAGTCCCATCACTGACCCCACTCCCAGGTGGATACTGTAGACAGAAGTGCTCAATAAATGTTTGGTGAGCGTCTCAGTTTGGGTTACTGTTGCTATGACAAAACATCATGACAAAATCAACTTGGTGAGGAAAAGGATTTCTTTCAATTTACACTTTCATGTCTCTGTTCCTCATCAAAGGAAGTCAGAACAGGAACTCGAACAAGGCAGGAACCTGGAGGCAGGAGCTGATGCAGAGGCCATGGAGGTATGCTGCTTACTGGCTTGCTCCCCCTGGCTTGTTCAGCCTGCTTTCTTATAGAACTCAGGGCCACAGCCCAAGGATGACCCCACCCACAGTGGACTGGGACCTCCCCCATCTATTACTAAGAAAATGTGCTACAGCCTGATCTTATGAGGCATTTTCTCAATTGAGGTTCCTCCTTTCAGATAACTCTAGCTTGTGTCAAGTTGACACAAAACTAGCCAGCACAGTAAGTGAAATAAAGGTGTGTCGACCACCTACTGTGTGCCAGCCATAACTTGGGAGATGTAACTGAAATCAGACATGGACCCTTGCCTCAGAGAACTAACAATCTAACGAGCAGTACAGATACATCAAAAATGCCTCATGCTCCCCCCTCTGCCTCTGTGAAAACTCCATGTTGAGATCCATATGCTCATCCTGTATCGGCAAAGTGTTTACTGTGTGTCTGAAAGAAACACAGGCATGAAAATTCCTGCACCTAAGACTCACACACACTGGAGGCAGAAGGGTGGTGAGAGCAGGCGGGTAAGTGCATTTACACAAGGATGCTTGGGCTATTCTGAGGAAGTAGACTGCAGACGGGGTGCAGCAGATGGAGGAGCTCTGGCCCGGGTGCTGATCCCCAAGCCCAGGCCTTCTGACCTGTAACCTGAGATGAAGCGCAGCACCTGTAAGTTTCTGTGACGACAATGAGGTGCTGTGTGAACTGTAAGGACCAGTCAGAACCTCTTACGGGAACTTCTCTGCCTTGGAGAAATGAATCTCCCCAACTCCTTTTGCAGCTTTACTGGCCAGGTCTGTTTCCTTCTGCTTGTGATAGCTTTGGTCCCAACCTGAAGCCTGGACACTTGGTGAAAGCCCAGCAGATGTGCCTGGCCCCAGCAGGCATAGGTCTCAGCTCAGAACTAGAGAAAGAGCTGGCTGAGAGAGTTTGTCCTGACTGTGGGCCAGGCAGGAAAACTCTAGCTACAAATGGTACCCAACGTGGGGCAAGAATTTCCACCTAAAACCTAAAAAAAAAAGATTCTAAAATGGAGCTTAAAACAGTTCCTAGTTGTCTCTTTCAAGTTAGCCGCAGCCTGCCGGTTTGAGCTACTGGTGGGTTCCTAGCGTGTGCGCTCGACCTGCAGTATGGCGGGAATGAGGCCTCTGCAAGTGGCACATTAAGCTGTGTGGTGGATTTAGCCTTTGCTAGTACAAAACAAAACAAAAAAAAAGAGGTTTCTGGGCAACACACTGCTTTGATAGAAGCATAGACCCACTATTTCTGAGAGTTGATGGCTCCCAGAGCTGGCAGAAAACGTATCACCGCCATGTTGGGAAGCTGAAGTGGGCGGAGCCAGCAGCGCCAGCGCCATTTCAGGCTTAGAAGACTGCAGTTCAAAGCAATAGGCTCAAGCTAATATAAAAAAATAAGCCACGTAAAGATGGCTACCACACAAAGAATCTGGATTATGTTCTCTTTGATATTCGTAACTAAAGAAAAACATTTGATTACAAAAGCTGTTGAGTTATGCCAAAATGTATATTTTAAAGGTACCTTGACTTCAAAATTTGGATGTAAGGATATGTTGCTTTGGAAAGGAGACTCTGCTTTTGTTTCCACAGAAAGCCAGAGGCTATGGATTTGTTCCAGATTAAGACACATCAGGCTTGACCTGCCAAGACCACCTGAAAGGTCTCCGATGACACCATAGCCCAGATGATCCAACATCCAGAACCGTTTCAAGGCAACTGGCTCAGACAATACACCCTCATGGACTACTCCATAACCCTAAAATATTCTTTGTGTCCCCATAAGATACAGCGCCCCCCTCCAGCAGGAAGTAGTAAGAAAAGCTACGCCTAAATTCCCAAATATACCAAGCTGACTTTGGAGATATGTAAAGGTTAAAACCTTCCTTTTTAAGAAAAGAAAAGGGGAAGTGCTGTGGGATGGTCTGTATGTCAAATGTGTTGCTGATTGGTAAATGAATAAATCACTGATTGGTCAGTGGCCAGGCAGGATGTATAGGCGGGACTAACAGAGAGGAGAATTGAGAGAACAGGAAGCTGGGTGAGAGAAACACTGCCAGCCACCATCAGGACAAGGAAGATGTAAAGTACCGGTAAGCCACAAGCCACGTGGCAAGGTATAGATTAATAGAAATGGATTAATTTAAGCTGTAAGAACAGTTAGCAAGAAGCCTGCCACGGCCATACAGTTTGTAAGCAATATAAGTCTCTGTGTTTATTTGGTTGGGTCTGAATGGCTGTGGGACTGGCAGGTGAGAGAGATTTGTCCTGACTGTGGGCCAGGCAGGAAAACTCTAGCTACAGCTGGCTCCTGGAATGTCTTTCTCCTTCCAGTCCTCCGTGTCCAGACCCTCACCTCCCCAGCCAAATTCCACCCAGGATGGGAAAGCAGGCTTAGGGAGTTCAGGTGTTTCAGCAGCAGAACCATGACTGGGCTTGAGCTGGACACCATGATGAAGAACATGCTAGAAAATGCAGCCTCTGTGGGCTTGTGAACACTTTTCTCAGGAATAGGAAAACTCAGGAATATTCAGAAACCTGTAAAAAGTTTGTTCGTTTTCTTTTAACTGTGGCGAAGAAAACGTTTAGCAAGTGCCTCTATTTTTAGGTAAGCACTTTTAGATCTCACAACATTGATTTAATAAAATACACATTACTATCCAGAAACGCCAGGAGCTGATTTCCAGACACATGTGCACTTGTACCTAGAAACATGTACAGATACACACAGACTTGGGCCTGTGGTGAGGCAGAGCATGATAGTGGAAGGGCTTAGTGGATCTGGAAAAGTGGAGGGAGGGCCAGCTGAAGAGGCCAGGGACAAGATATGCCCTTAACGGCATAGCCCAGTGACCCACTTCCCCCAGCCAGGCCTTCTCACCGCCCCATCATGCCATTAGTGATGGCTCCATCAACAGACGAGGCTACTGATGGAGGGAGGTGCCTTAGGATTGTCATTCCTGGTCACACCACTAGCTGCCAAACGTGCCCTCAATCAGACCCTTACAAAAGCTCCCACATCCAAACAGACGAGGCTACTGATGGAGGGAGGTGCCTTAGGATTGTCATTCCTGGTCACACCACTAGCTGCCAACCGTGCCCTCAATCAGACCCTTACAAAAGCTCCCACATCCAAACAGACGAGGCTACTGATGGAGGGAGGTGCCTTAGGATTGTCATTCCTGGTCACACCACTAGCTGCCAAACGTGCCCTCAATCAGACCCTTACAAAAGCTCCCACATCCAAACAGACGAGGCTACTGATGGAGGGAGGTGCCTTAGGATTGTCATTCCTGGTCACACCACTAGCTGCCAACCGTGCCCTCAATCAGACCCTTACAAAAGCTCCCACATCCAAACAGACGAGGCTACTGATGGAGGGAGGTGCCTTAGGATTGTCATTCCTGGTCACACCACTAGCTGCCAACCGTGCCCTCAATCAGACCCTTACAAAAGCTCCCACATCCAAACCGCTGCATGTTTCAGTACCATTGTGGACATAACTTTCAGAGAATTAGAGAGACTCTTGGTTGTGTTGAGGAATTTTTACCAAATGGTTACAATGAGAATCTGGGCAGAAACCATCTTTGGCTGACTCTCAGGGTCACTATCCTTTATTAACTGCCTATCAACATGGTACTCCATAAACAGTATTCCATCGTAGGACTGTGTGACTGAGTATAGGCAAATCATAATTTTCTTGTCGAAGTGAAGGATTTGACAAGACCCTCATTCTCAGAAACGAACTGCAGGAGTCATATGTTGGAGAAAGTTGAGGTAATTTCAGTGTGGACTAGTTATTAGATAATAGAACAGCAATGCTTTATATTTAGATATGTTTTTCAAGAGAGGGTTTCCCTGTGTAGTCCTGACAGTCCTGAAACTTGCTTTGTAGACCAGGCTGGCCTGGAACTCAGACATCTGCCTGCCTCTGCCTCCTGAGTGCTGGGACTAAAGGCATGTGCCACCATGCCCAGCCATCTTTTTTTACCCCAGCTTCTGAGTAACATGTTCTCTTTTGCAGAGCACACTGAAGTGTTCAGGAGTGAAGAATCATATCTGAGATTCTTTTTAAAGTATCTGCCCAAATTTCAGATTGAGATATTAAAACGTGAAATATTAGTTGTTAATATTATTAAATATTAATAACTAGTAAAGCTCCCTTTACTTTCTAGTACTTGAAAGTTTTCATAACAAATAAATAGTGCCACAAATAAAATGCAGGCATCAGTAACGCAGCTCCAGCCCCAGCTTAGCAGGCAGAGGCTCTGAGCTACATGCAGAGGGAATCCATCTTTGTCCTGGGCATCCAGCCCTCCCACTCCCGCCACCACCAGCCACTCATCAGACACTTTTGTTTGCTGTTCCTGGGTGTTTTTTAAGTAGGAATGACAGCAAGTGTCATAAGTCCCTCTAACAGCCTGGGTGCAGAGGCCCAGCTCTGGGGCCCTTGCAGGCTTTAGTGTCACAGATGAGATGGGACAAAGCCGGACAGTACTGAGGAGCCTGGCAGGACGTCGGCCTCAGCTGCCTGTCATCCAGGAGCAAGTTCCCCACCTCCGGTTTTCCTTTCCTTTGATGAGACCTGGAAGGAGAAATCAGTAGTCCTCTGAGGGCTCTTCTGAACCTCCCTCTGCTCACATTGGGGCCAGTGAGGGCCGAGGCCAGGGTGCCTGGCGCACTCCAGCTCCCTCAACATTCCTCCCAACTGTAGACTTGTTTGTTTCAAAGTCTTCTCAGTTCTTAGTGTCACAGCTGAAGCATCCACAAACCCGGCGAATCGATGGAACCTCCATCACACAACACAGGTCACTTTGGACCTCCATTCAAAGTTTGGCAACTGAGTGAACTTTTCAATATCTTCCAGTAAAAGACATGCTTAAGGTGTTTTTATTTAGAAGTGATTATATTAAAGAGCCAATCAGCTCCTTCTTCCTGACAATGGTGGACAAGAGGTGTGTGCCATCCTGTCATTCTCTATCCAGATTCCAGTGAAGTAACCCCAAACCAGATCACTTAGAAAGAGTATCTGTTCTGTAGCTTCAGCACTCAAGAGGCTGAAGCAGGAGAATCACATGACTAGCTGGCCAGAATAGTCAGACCCTGTCTTGAAGGAAAAGGAAGAAGAGAGGGAGGAGGAGGGAAGGGGGGAAGAGAGAGGAGGGAAGAGACAGGAGAGGGAAGAGAGAGGAGAGGGGAGAGGAGAGGAGAGGGAAGAGGAGAGAGAAGAGGGGAGGGGGAGAGGAGAGGGAAGGGAAGGGGAGGAGACACACACACACACACACACACACACAGACTTCCCACTGAGCCAGGGACTACATGCATTTCCCGGTGATTTCCCTCCCATGCATTACTGGGTGATTTCCCTCCCCTGGCATTTTATTTGGACTATTATAAGGTTCACTTGTGTTTTCTGGGCATGCACTGGGAGCTAGAGACAGACACTTTGCTCACCCACTACCCTGAACCCCACTTCTGCCCCAGAGTGTGGTGACACCTGGCCTTCCAGATTTTTCACAGGTGACCCACACATGCACCATCAGTTAGAGCATGAAACTATAGGATGCTACTTGGGACTGGTTTTCTCAGGCACCAGAGGTGACCTTACTTCCTAGGAAAGCTGGAGAGCTGGTGTGAACAGAAGGCCTGGACTTCAGATGCCTTGGCTCCAGCAGCGGGTCTGAAGGCTTCCAAGCCCTGACTCGGGACTGGCCACACTCCACGGATGACATCCTGTGGGTTATGGTCATCCTAACTATCCCTAGCTACTTTTTTGGGGGAGCAGCCTTGGCCCCACCCCGACCCATGTTGTATAAGGGATAGATAAGACTACAATGGGTGGACAAGCGGCCATTCATTGGTCCTGTCCCATCATAGCCCAAGGACTCAAAGGCAGGAACAATTCCACATTGGAGGGATCAGAGTTAAGGCAAAAGCAGTGAGATCCTTGGGAGACTCCACTTTTCACTCACTAGCTGAAGAGTGAGTTGAACCATCTCTGTGGTCCCCACCAGCTGTCCTGGGCCCCGAGGCTGTGGCTCCCCTGCAGTGAGTGCCATCTGGTCACCAGAAAAGGTGCCCCAAATGGGTAGGGTGAATGGGGCATCCTGGAAATTGGGATGAGAATGCAGGCCTTGCCAAAGAGGCAGACACTTGTTCCTTGTTCCAGACAGTGGTAGGAGATGGGAAAGCGCCTGCTCCAGCACCAGGCCTTGTGTATGCATCAGGCTGGGAAGCGGGATGTATGCATCCTGTTGGGGAGGAACAGGGCTCCAGTCCTGACTCCTCCCTGTAGCCAAGCAGGTGTGCACACTTGGGTAGGTGGCTCAGGTGGTTCAGCTGTGCTGTTTGGTGGGTCTCCTGTTCCGGGTAGGTGGGGAGGTTCCAGCACCGGCAACCCGGTCACCGGCCTGTCATTCCCTCCTGCAGGTGACCGCCCAGGGAGGTCAGTCGGCCTGCGGCGCCCTGAACTCCGGCATGCTCCAGGTGCGTGGTGGGGGTGGCGCATCACGCTCCACGTCCTCCGAGATGGTCCGGATGTCACTGGCGAAAGGAGCGATGCGTGCTCGGCTCTTGAAGGAGGACAGGCTGCCTCGGGGCCTCAAGCTCCACTGACGCGTCAGCTTATGGGCTTCCTCCTCCTGCTTCGTCTTCTCCAGGGCCTCCTGCAGCACCGAGCGGAAGAGCCGCGCCACCTCCTGCACCTCGGGCTCCCGCTCGGCTAGCAGCTGTCGGAACCTGCGGGAACATGATGTGACTGGCTGAGCATCCCACCTGCCGGCAACTCCCTGCCTTACTTTTGTCCCAATCAATCATGAGCTCAATCCCAGCTCTGTTCACCTCTGAGCCTCAATTTCCCGTCTGTAAAAGGCAACGCCTACCTTTTCTCAAGGTTCATGCTAATATGCAAGGAGCCAGCCTAAGGCTTACAGAGGCAAAGAACTCAGAGAAATGCACTGAGACCACAGCATGGCTGTGTGAGGCTTTCCATGCCCCACCTGCCCTGGAGATTGCTCTGAAATGCATGTCTGGTTATGTCACTGTGTGTAATCACAGAGTCACATCTCCCCCAGCTCCGTGTCCCTTTCTTCAGGGTGATGGACACACTGTGCTTTCACATTAGCCTTCTCCTTCCCAGGAAGCCCAGGAAGAACATTTGTGTCTCCTTGGTCCTTGTGTGTCTTCGGAAGATTTCTCCCTGGGGCTCAAGAATCATCCATCTGATCCTTGCCTTCCTCCTCCCTACAGAGAGCCAACACTTGGCAGGGGCAAACAGGAAGGCCAGGAGGCAGCAGCGTGGGAATCCCTTCACTGTGGGTTTGGCCAGCCAGAGCACATTCCCTCTGTGGCTCTCTATCTCAGCCCCATAGTCTCTTCTGAAGTAAATACTTTCAGGGGCTCCCATCATGTAGAATCGGGAAAACGGGAAATGGCAGTCTGAAAGGAAGACAGCCAGCAAGAAGACCATAAAACCAAAGAGGGAGAATAGGGGCAAAGCCCTCCTTTCAGGGGAATTTCAAAGAGAGAGCACAGAATGGGCAAGCGTTGGTGGGGGTGACTGCAGGAGTCAGGGTTGGGGTGTTTAGTTGTAGATTTGTCCTTTACAAAGAGAAATGCTGACAAGAAACTTCTGTTCTTGGGGTTGGGGATTTAGCTCAGTGGTAGAGCGCTTGCCTAGCAAGTGCAAGACCCTGGGTTCAGTCCTCAGCTCTGAAAAAAAAAAAAAAAGAAAGAAAGAAAGAAACTTCTGTTCTTTTGGAATCATTCCTGGTTTTGGACTGACTTCGCCCATTCTGCGGGGACAGAGCTAGGTGAGCCACAGCTTCAGCGGGATGGTTTAAGTTCTGGATAGAGCTGTCCCCAAGCTTTGCACACTTGGTGCCCTGTGCTCCCACACATTTGCTGAGCCATGCATGTTCCCTCTCCCCCACAGACACACTCACACCTCAGGCTGACCAGTGTCAAAGCTGACTGAAATGGAATAATTAGGACACCAGTTTTGGAGACATTGCCTGGGAAAGGTCCCAAGTAAGAAATACTGATGCTGAGACACCAGGATTGCTGTGAATTTGAGGCCTAGTGAGTTCTAGGCTAGCCTGGGCTAAAAGAGGAGGAAGAGGAGGAAATGCAGCAGGAGAAGTAGGAGACATTGAAGGTAAACAGACCACAAAGGAGCCTGTGGTGGCTAGCAGGTTCCCAGGCACCCAGGCAGGAAGAGAACTTACAGGCTTTGAGCCTCACCCATCACAGCCTGAGGGCTGCCAGATCTGCCTCCAGCCCCACAGGAAGCCTCCCCCAGGTCTGATATGCCTTTTGAGTTCCTTTTCCTGCTGTACCCCACCTAACATAAATCTGGGCCACTCTGCCCTCTGGCTCTGATCCCCGTGGCCTCGGGCTACTGTAAGTGCAGTTACCCTCTCTGGAGCCAGTGAGGTCACAGCTGGTCCCCAGCCCAATGCCAGGGTTACCTGAGGATGGCAGGCCCACAGTAGGATGGGTGGATCTTGGCACATACATCCTCCAGCTGCAGCCGCTCACCAGGGCTGAGGTCATAGGTAGGCCTGGGCGTGCTGGCCAGCCAGCTGTAGTCCACTCCAGTACAGATCTTCCTGACCGCGCTGCGACGCTCCCTCTGCTGCCTCTCCACCTCCCGCATCTGCCCAGCCAGCTCCATCATCAGCGTCTCCAGCACCATCTCCGCTGGGCTCCGGGCAGACAGCCGGGGTGGGGTGTCGTTCCACCGGAGCCATGGGATGAGGGACATGGTCCTCCAGCCCCTGCTGAGACAGAGAAGAAGTGGGTTGGGTCTTCCCTGTGCCCCTTGTCAGCTAGGGGAGAACCCAGGAGACCAAGAAAGACCCTAGCTGAAAACATCTGCTCCCACCCCCACCCCTTACAGCTGTGTGGCCTCATGTAGGTCACAACCCCTTTGAGCAAAATTCTTAGTTATGAAAAAGAAGACAGGGCCATTTAAGAAGCAGTTTGAATGAGCTTGGTTCACAGTAAACATTAAAAGAAATAATGTATGCAGCCATGGTGATAAGAATCCTGAAAGCATTCTGATGACTGAACCCAGAGAAATTGGTCCCCAAGCCTCACTAACCCTAAAGAAAGCAGAAAACAGTCCATATATAGCACAGTCATATCCCCATGATCTATGGGGGAAAGCACACACAACACAAACACACACACACAGCACAAACAACATGCAACATATATAACACACACATATAGACACATACAACACACAGTACACACATATACAACACATGCACATGCACACACATGTACCCTTAGACACTTACATCCTATGCCAGGCCAACAAGAAAACACTGTTTCAGAAGCCTCCAGTCCAAGGATGGTACACCTAGAAATGTGTGGGCTGACATTACCCTGATAAAACTCAACTCACCCACCATCTGTTCATAGTTCATTAATCCAGTAAGCATCAGCCATTCAGTGGATGGACACAGACATGAAAGTATGTGGGGATCCTGCTCTCCATGAGACACAAGACTTACATCTCATGACTGGGGAGCACGCTCAGTATCTGTGGGGAGGGTGAACGCTAGATGATGAAAGGGGTCAGAGAAGGAGTTGTGGATGAGCAGGGTCAGAGTAAGGGCAGAGGGCAGACGTGAGGGCTGATAGAGATGGTGGCCTGGGTGGAAGACCAAGCCTTGGTCCAAGGTGTACACAGGGATGCCTGAGCAGGACATCAGTGAAAACCACCTCCATTGGTTTTCAGTGTAAGACCAGACTTCAATGTAAGACCAGAAATTCTATGACTGTTAGAGAAAAAAGTAGGGAAACACTTCAGACACAAATATAAGAAGGGCTTTCTCAGCGGGACTCTAGTTATCCAGGAAATAAGGCCAACAACTGACCAACAGGACCTGGTGACATTTCAAAGAAACATTAACTGAGTGGGGAAGCCTACAGAACAGGAGAAAACCTCTGACTTGATGGATACACACATGACATAGAATTAATATCTAAAATGTACAGAGAATTTAAAAAAAAAACATGACACCGAAGGGCAGAGTCAATAACTGGGCTGATGAAATGAATGGACAGTTCTCAAAAGATGAACTACCAGCCGGGCAGTGGTGGCTCACACCTTTAATCCTAGCACTCAAGAGGCAGAGGCAGGTGGATCTCTGTGAGTCTGAGGCCAGCCTTATCTAGAGCTGTTACACAGAGAAACCCTGTCTTAAAAAAAAAAAAACCACGAATGGCCGGTGAACACAGGGAAGTGTTCAATCTCACTAGCCAGAGCTGGTCTCCAGCGTGGCCTCCTCTGCCCCTCTTTCCTGGAGACCTAAGTTGGCCTGTAGAGGCAAATGTTTTTCAAGGGCTAAGGCTGAGTGGGCCTCCTGAGCCATGTGCTCTGTGAACCCTAAACTTCTGGGGCCCAGCATGGGAGTCTCACTGGAAAGGGGGGGTATTCTCAAGTTTCCTCCCCCCCCACCCCCGTGCTCCTCCACACTGGCCCCGATCCAACAGCAGCAAGGTTTCTATTGCTGCTATTTCTGTCCCGGGTGCCAGCTGCTCCCCCAGGAGGCTCTACAGGCAAGCCCGATTAAGTTCTTAAGGCCACAGGATGGGGAGGGAGGGTGGGGGAAGGGAAGAACAGTCTCTAGACAGCTGCCAGCCAGGCAGACTCCTGGACCAGCCAGGCCTTGTGTGACCTGCCCTGGGAGATTGTAGTTTTGGCTCCTCACCACCCTCTGGAGGCACTGCTCCCCTCAGAAACAGAGCTCCTGGGCAAGCTTCCAAGGCCCCTCACTCTAGCTCACCTAGTCTGTGACAGGGCCTGGGTGACCTCAGAGCCTGTCATGGAGGCCTGCTCGCTTGCTCAGCCTCATTGACAGTCTCAGATACCAGCCTGGATGTGAGGAGTGACTGCCGGTTTCCTTAGCTGTGAAGCAGTTATGGGGTCTCGGGCAGTGTTAGGAGACAGTGCTGGAGTGTTTGTGGATGTGGGCAGTCTTACATTCCAACCATTCAGACAAGCAACATGCATGTGCATTTGCACACACAAACATGTGATCCAGCAAAACGATTGTTTTATCAGAGTTTTTGTTTTTGTTTGGGGTGTTTGTTGTATTTTTCTTCCAACTTGCCTGCATGTCAGCACATGGGGCTGTGGAATTCTCCACCAGCAGGCACAGGAAGTGTGCTGGGCTGGCCTGAGGTAAGCAGACTCCGGGCCTGTGCCATGCCTCCCACTGCACTGGATGTGAGGCTCCCTCAAGGAGTGTGTGTTCAGGAATAAGTGTGGTGGGGTATGCTTGTAATCCAAGCACTTTGGAGCCCGAGGTGGGGTCTCTAGAGAAAGCCATCAAAATGCTTCTACAGGAGTCAGCACTCCAGGATGCAAGGCCCCTCTGTCATCGGTGTGTGACCATCTGAGAGGACATCCGGTAACTAACCCCACTGAGAAGACACTGTCTCATTCTCCCTGACCAGCCGGGCCTTACATTCCTCATCTACGCATGGGGTTGACACACCATGCAGCACACTCCCCAGAGTTCTGTGACTCTCAAAAGCAGGTGTGTGAAGTCCTGTGCAATACCTGGCTCTGCCATCGCAGAACCTGGAAGTGAGTGCCGCCTCTATGCCTGCCAGACGACAGAGAAAGCAGACAGAACGCTGGCCGAAGGTGACACGGAGTGGAAAGGAAGAAATGAAAGCCAGCTAGGATGATACATTCCAAGACTGAAAAGACCCCCAACATTGTGGTCTGTGAGAACCTTGGGGATATGTCTCTCTCCCACGTCTGGGAAATGGGGCAGGATGGATGCTGCCTTCTGCTGATAGCTCCTCCCCTCTTCTCCCCGAGTCTCTTCTGCTGAGTGGTGCCTCACCCTCCTTTAACTTCAGACATGCTGGTGGCCTGATTGTCCCCCTTCCCTTTGGTCAATTGCTGTCTCAATGAGGCATGCTGAGGCTGAGGAGAGAGTGCCCGCTGTCCCTGACACATCTAGCCTGCATCCAGCTCCCTGGGGTCTCAGTTTCCCTGTCTGTAAGAGGGGCAAAGAGGGTGTTTGTTTCGAGTTCCTGTAAAATCAGATAAACCTGACAAGATCTTTCACATCAGGAGGCTGCTCACCTGTGGCTGTCACTGGCCCTCAGTGCAGGGACTCTTCCCTGGGGTCCTAGGAGAATCAAGTTATGAACTTGGAAAAATCTTGTTTCCACCTCTGATTTCAAATGTAGCATTTCTGGGCCAGAGAGGTGGACATGCAGTTAAAAGCGCTCGCTGCTCTTGAGAGGGCCAGCACCGACGTGGTGGTTCACAATTCTTGGGGATCTGATATCCACTCTGATTTCCACAGGCACCAGCCACACACATGGTGCACACACACACATTTGCAGGCAAAACACTCATACACAAAAAATAAATAAATCTGAAATATTTTAATGTATCATCTCCTCCAGGTAGGAATGCCCACCACACAACCCAGGAGTATCTATTATGACACCTGAGACTTCACCTTCAGCCAAGATCATGAATATAGTCCTGACTCCTCAGAGTTGCTATTTGTGAAATATTGTGTGCTCATCATTACTCTGAAATGCATTATTATGTCGCTAGATCTTATACTCTTACCTATTTCTGGAAAAGCACAGATATCACTTGTCATAAGTTGTTTTTATGTCAATGGTTGCATTTCTACAGAGCTAGTTTTTCTCTGATTCAGCTTTGGTGATGTTCCATTTAGAAACACTTCAGAAAATGTTTTCTCAGTGACCCCCAGCGGTCTGTAGAACAGAAAAGAAAGCCTATCCTGCCCCTCCCCACCCCACGACTTGGTGCAAGTTTCACCCCAACCTGGATCCTAGCCTTCCTTGGCTCTGTGATCTGGTGTCTGTACAGGGACAGCTGAGTCACTATCCTCCAAGAGAAACTGATTCTAAGCACCTGGGGCCGGGTCACACAAAAGCCCCTATTCCTACCGCTGCCCCTAGGTATCACTCTCCCCTCACCTGCCTCTTCCCTTCCCTGCCACCTCTGATCATACTTTGAGCCTCTCCTCCCTCCATTTCTGGACATCCCTGAGGACAGAGGCTTTTTATCTTAGAAACGCTCCAAGCCTGCCCTGAATCCCGAGGGAAGAGGAGTCTGGTCCTAGACAGTTAGAGGGGACCACTATGCTCACGGGCACCACACAGTGAAGGGGATGCTGTCCTTGATCCAAGAACCCTGATTTATTATTGGTCCAGAGGGAGCCACACCCAGGGCCACAGCTGTGGCTCCCCCCTTGTATAGCTGGACTCCCACAGCTCAGATGAGTATCTGCAGGCCAGGGAGGGCTCTGTTCCCGGTGACCCTAGGGCCTAAGGGCACCTGACCCAGGCTATCCCAGAGCATGGGTTACTACTACCTCTTAGAGCAGCTGTGTCAGCTGAGGCCAGACACCGGGTCCTGGCAGAGGCACAGAGAGCATATGTAACTGCCCTCCCTCACCAGCTCTCTCCCTGGCCCAAGGTCAGCTTCACCAGCTGCAAGTTAGCCTTGTAGGTAATATTAGAAAAATTACCTAGAATCCGTCAAGCCAGGTGTGAACGGGCCTGACCTTCACCTACCCAGCAAAGACCTGTTCATCGCCCAAACCCTCTTCTAAGGGTCGTCAACTTCTTCCTGTAGCCTGCCCTCACTGCTCCCCACTGAGATAGCATGGATCTCAGGGGCCGTAGGACCCATCATTCCAGCATCTGTAATGATGGTGGATTCGTGCATGGGCAGCTGGGTATGTGAATGGATGGGTAGATGTGAGTGAGTGAGTGAGTGAGTGAGTGGATGGATCAGTGGGTGGGTGGGTGAATGGGTAGATGAGTGTGTGGGTGGATGGATGCATGCATGCATGTGTGGATAGATGGTCCATAGATGGATAGAGGGCAGATGGATTGAAGGATGGATGAGTCTCAGTCAGTTTTCTTAATATTGAGGCAGAAGTGCAAGTACTCAGGTCTGACTATGACAGGCAATCTCCAAAAAAATTCTCCCTTCATCCCAACGTCACAACCCATTGAATCCTCCCTACCTCCACCCAGGTTCCCTCCTGGAGCCTTACTGGGCCCTCATAGGCTGCTCCATTGTGGAGGGGACAACACGTCCCCTGAGCCCTGCTGTATGCCTAGACTTGACTCTACCCTTTGGGGGTGCTAAGTTGCATTTCTCAGATGAATTTGCTTCCTTCCCCTGGCTGTGTCTTCTGAGTACCACACAAGGGAGCTCTGAGGCTGCTTCTCTCTGAGGCTTGCTCAGCGCGGAGCAGACAACAGTTGTGGCTCCCCACAAGTTTATGAAGAAAGAACCAGGCTAGGTAACCCCCTCCCCCAGGATCCTGCCTGAGTCCTCTCATCTTTGACCAGTGAGGACTGAGGGGGCCTCCCACGGCTACCTGAGATCCAGCCTATTTTTTGGTTCCCAGATGGCCAGGGAGCCTCCCCTCCATGCTCATAGCCAAGTGTGCCTGACTCCTCCTGGAGGCATAGCTGCCCACCGCAAGGACAGGAAGCTGCCACTTCTGGGGAGACCCCCGCCCCCCACACACACTCTCACCTGAGATCCACCTCCTTCTGGGGCAATGACACCGTAGGGGTCCTGCTTCCCACTTCCCAGTCTAGGGAAAGTGGAAAGTTGAGCGGTTGTACAGGGGCAGAGGTAGAAGGGTGCACAGCATCCTCACAGCCTCTCTCTGCCTCTTCCGCTGCCGGCGGCCTCCGGTGCTTTCTGCTTCTCCTGTCTGAGAAGTTTTACTGGAGGGACCAACTGGAGGAAGGCCCCAGCTGGGCTGGTGTTTGTGGAGTGCGTGTAGGTCCCCAGAGCTGAGCCACAACTCCCTGCAGAACCTGAAGGCAGGCCAGCTGCGGTTGCCATGGAGACCCACCTAAGCCTCTTGGCCTGCAGCGGTATTAGCAGATGAGGGAGGGTTGACCTGACCCATAGATGCCAAGAAGATCAGGCCGGGAGAGAGCTCTATTCCCAGAAGGCACCTGAACCCCCTCCTTTCCCAGCACCACCCAGTTAGATGCCGCTGACCTCACCAGACTCCTGGCACACCTACTCATGGCAGATGTTTCCAGCTGCCTGATGCATGGTTCCTGAATGCAGATGCATTCTTCCCTCCAAAAGGACATTACTCTGGGCATCAGGGGCCCAGGATGACTTGTCTCCACCTTTCTCAGTCCCCTTACCTGTCGCCCTCTCTGTCTCTCCTTCTCTCCCAGGAGCACAGGGACAGAAGGCACAGGTAGGTCCAGGGAGAAGAGAGAAAGTAGGTCCTGGGGAGCCAGGGTTACGTCAGAGGTTGACATGGGCTTCCTGCTGCTTCACCCCAGTCACCATGAGGTCCCTGCCTTTCTGCTCCCTGTACCACATGGAGGCTATTCTGGCTACAGGCCACGAGTAGTCCTGGCTGCGCCTTGCAGATGTGAAGAAGCTCTGAGAAGGGAATGCTGCCCTGTGAAGGACCAGTGAACTGCAACAGCCTGCACTGTGTGAATCCTAGGGGATGCCGAGCCAGCAGCAGGAAGGGAGTGGCTTTGGACACATCTCGTTCAGTTGTGTTGAAAGTGAAGCAGAAAGCATGGCCAAGAAGACGTAAGCCAAGTCAGACTACTCAGTCTGGAGCTGCCCTCCTGCACATTTGATGTTTGCGGTTGGGAGGGGATACAGTGTGCAGATTCTTCCACCTTCCTTCCTGTGGCAGAAGCAGCAGGGTCTGCCATCAGGAGCTGGGTCTTAAGGTCAAACATTTCTCTTGGCAAGTTCGCATCATGACAATCCTAACAAGTGAAGGGATGGGTCAGGGACCTCCTTCACGGTACCCAAGTGGCCTCCATCCAAGGCCAGCTAAGGCCAGAGCAACTGAGGCAAGCGCCAGGACAAGAGTGGCCGACTGATGATAGCACCTTCCGTGGGGCAGAGTGGGTGCCTTGCTATGGCCAGGAGCAGGGCTGGGGACAGTTCTCTCTGGGAGCCTTTCCTTGTCCTTTCACAGACTAGAGAGTAGCCGGAACTCCCACCCCAGACACGCTAGGTGTCTCTGCCCATCCAGCCCCTTCCGTATTCCCTCAACAAAAGTCCTGCTTGCGTGCTCTGCACCAGCCCCAAAGCCTTGACCAAGGATGAAGACAGAGAAAGCAGGCCACCAGCTTACAGGCCCAGGGCTCCCAGCTGGGGTGACTGGTGAGCAGGTACTTGTAGAGATCTGGAGATACTTTGGAGAGGAGCCCCACGCTGTGGGTCCCACCTCCTCTTCCTATTCCCAATGCTGCCGTCCTGAGAGTCCCCAAGCCCAGAGCAGCAAAGGTCTTTTACTCCCACACCTGCTGAAGTCAGGTTGTCAGAAGGGATTGGGGACTTCCTCAAACAGCAAGCAAGACCCACACTCCAGTCCACTGCACCTCTGTGGTCTCAGCAAATCCCAGGACTCCTGGGCCTAGCACAACACCCAGCGTCAGTGAGAGCACCAAACATACCCCCTGTTCTATGGAGGAAAGAAGCAGTCTGTGTCCCCGTGTCTGTGTGCAGTGCAGAAATCTGTGTTACGTTTCCCTCTGTGTCCTAAAAGGTGCGTGAGAGAAGCAGTACGTCCACAGACCTCAAAGTATTGGAAGATCTTGCTCGGCTGAATGAGGAGGATGAGACTTGCACCCTAGGGCTAAGGGTAGAATGGAGATGTGTGGTGCCACTGTGTGCTGAGATTAGGACTTGCCCTCTGTGAAATCTGCTGGTTGCTAGAACTTTCCAGAGAGCATCAGAGTCTCCAGAACTGGTTTGTTTTGTACCAGTGCACTTGGCCCTTTCCCAGAAGGTAAACCAAAAACACCATAACTTCCTCAATCTTACCCACCACATGCAGAAAAAAGAGCAGAGTTGCCCCAGCAACTGCAGGAAAAGCAGAGGGATGCAGACTGGCATCCAGGCACCAGTGGACATCTGGGGCCAGAGGCCTCTTTTGCTTCTTCATAGAAACTAAAGTGGCTTGAGAAAGCATCCAGGCATAGGGACTCATGAGTAAGGACTGGAAACAGAAATTACAAGACAAAGCTCGGTGCTATGCTCTGACGCAAATCAGAAGCAAACTGACCAGTGATGGAGGAGCCGCTTCAAAATTACAGATGTGTCAACATCCCCATCTGTGCGGTCAAAAGACAACAATTACGACAAAGTACATCTCTAGCTTTGCTTTGGGAAAAGCAGCAGCATCCCACCAGCCCAGGAGTGAGACTCAAGGCAGGTCTCAGTGTCTGGGGTGGCAGAGAGGGACCTGAGCCACGACCTGGTCCCTCTGCCACCAGACACTAAGACCTGATCTGAGTCTCACTTGTGCCTGAGGCACAACCAGGAGCCCAGGTCTTATTTCAGGTGAAGGGATGCTTGCATTCTGAAGGAATGGAGGGGGTTACTTGTTGTTCTAGCTCAGGTGTCCTCAAACTGTGGGTCACAACCCCTTTGGCAAACCTCTATCTCCAAAATTATTTATAATAGTAGCAAATAGTAGTTCATAATAGTAGCAAAATTACAGTTATGAAGTAGCAACAAAAATAATTTTATAGTTGGGGGGATCACCACAACATGAGGAACTGTATTAAAGGGTCTTAGCATTAGGAAGGTTGAAGACCACTGATCTACCTGATCAAGCTTGATCATTTCTTGGGAAATATCTCTTAGTGAGTATGTGGTGACAAGTTATTTGGTCTCTATAAAAGGTCATAAAAGAAAGTTTGGACAAGAAAAATTTGCACAAAACCAAAATGAAGGAACTTGGCCTTCCTGCTTTATGATGTCACCAAAGCAGCATTAAATGGGGGTGTGTGTGTGGACCAAACCCCAAATTCCTCAGAGCAGTTTGCATCCTTACAATCCTGGGGGTTTTGCATGGAATTTGCATAAATTTACATATAATTTGCAGAACATTAAGCAATTCTCAAAGTGCTGGGAACGTGGGTGGATCTGTGTAGTCCCAGGCTGTCAAGGACAAATTTTTGGAACTCTATTTCCAGTCCTCTGATGACTTTCCTCACAGTTCAAGGTCTTCTGTTTGCTCTTCGTGTCTTGGAGGCATTGCTGAAGCTCCCCCCCTTCTAGGACCCTAGCACAGAGACAGGCCTTGAGAACAAAGAGCTGAGGGGTGGATCCTCCTCAAAGGCCCACTTCTCAGGATCCATATCTGGACTGGACACCTGTCTGCTGGGTGACCCTGTAGAGATACTCTAGAGGGACTCTTGTGTAACCTGACTCCTGAAACAATGGACCCAATAAAATGTGGTAATTTTCCCCAGGACTCTCACCAGGGAGAAGGAAAAGGCCCCAGCCAGATCTCTGCTGGAAGAGATTCTAACTTGTCAGCCCGCCTTCCAGGATGAGACTGAAGCTTGGACAACCAACGATGGGTCAGCGGTGGGCGGGGCCACACCTCGACCAGGACTGCCTAGACACAATATCCTTGGCTTTTATTTAAACTCTGGTTTCACTGCAGGACCCTGAAGACTGGCTCTGGAGGCTCTCTGGATCCCTTTGTCCCTCTTCCCAGCACAGCCACATTAAATAAATCTCCTTTTTCTGTTTACCCCTTTTAATTTGGCTCTTGTAATTGGCTTATTGAGGATAGGTGGCTGGATCTCACTTGGGGCATAAGTTGTGACTCCCAAGTCGATAATATTATGGTACCTGAAACTATGGTAGGACCCCTTTTTTCATCTTTTAAGAAATGGGCATATCCTTGACATGCACCTGCCCCCTATCTTCCTCATGCATCCTGGCCCTGAGCCTTGAGGCCCAGAGCATCAACCAGAACTAGACTCCAAAGAAGCCCCAGGGCTGCAAGTTGCTTCACCCTCCTCTCCACAGCTCCCCAGCAGTCCTGGTTTGTGAGGGGGAAACCCAGGCTCGGCCCACAGCTCCCTTGTCTGGGTGGCTGGGAGCAGGCTGGCTGTGACAGGCTCAGAATTCCCTGTTGACCAGAGCTCCTACCTGTTTGTGCTTAGTTGGCACCAGAGAGGCGTGCCCCAGGTGCACAGGGCTGAAGCGTCAATGCTCAGCTCTGCTCCTCTTGGATACCGTGGTCCCCAGAGCCACCCAAGCTGGTAAACATGGCAACAGTTACCTGGCTTCTGTTGCCGCTCTGATTTGGAGTCCCACTGTTGGTGAAACCATAAACAAGGATCAACTCGGTTTCTCCCACAGCCCTTGGTGGGGTCCCCCTCATCCCCCCTTTCCCCTCCCTTGCGGACCCCTCCTGTCCAAGCCTCTTTCTGAGCAGATATTCACTTCTAGAGAACTAAGGAATCCTCTGTGCTTTTGAATCACACAGCTTCTACCTTCTAGGACAGTGGTTCTCAACCTTCCTAATGCTGTGACCCTTTAATAGAGTTACTCATGTTGTGGTGACTCCCCAGCCATAAAATTATTTTTGTTGCTACTTCATAACTGTAATCTTGCTACTGTTCTCAATTGCAATGTAAATATCTGTGTTTTCCAGTGGTCTTAGGCGACCCCTGTGAAAGGGTCATTTGACCCTCAAAGGGATCGCACCCCACAGGTTGAGAACCGCTGGTCTAGAGTATCTCTAATGATGTTGCCACAGGGCCACATTTCTGTACAAGTACAGGCTGAGTCACTAGAGAGAGATATTGATCCAACCCCCACATCAAGTCTGAATCCTTCTGTGGATGCCTGCAAAGCTTGCCTCATGGGAATTTGATTTGTGTTTGATTTATGCAGCTAACCCCATATTGCTCATGCACGTGCAAAACCTTAAAATTATCATTAACTGTGTTGTGTGTACCAACCTGCTCAATGGGTGTAACTGCCATCTCCGTCTTACACGTGGAAGAACACAGCCGTGAGTTAAGCAACCAGCCCAGGGCTCACATGAAACGAGTGGTAATCGTAGACATGGTCCAGAGCTGGGCAGCCTGGTGCTGGGCTGGCCCTGGGGATGGTTACAGGCTTCTACCCTTGCTTCCCTCTTTGGATTGATCCAAGTCCATTAACCCTGTCAGCTGCCACCAGAGCAACAGGCACAGATGCGTAAGGAATAACGAGCCGCTCTCCAGACCCTGCCACCTGAAGCTACAGAAAACAAAAGTATCTGTTTGCCTCTTTTGAACACATCTCAAGCTCACACAAGATACATAAAGACATGTTGATACTTTTCTATATGGTTATTTTTTACTATTTCTTTTTTTGTTCTTGTTGTTAAAAACAGTATCTTGGGGCTGTAGAGATGGCTCAGTAGTTAAGAGCCCTGGCTGCTCTTAAAGAAGACCGGGGTCTGCAGAGGCAGGCGGATCTCTGTGAGTTCGAGGCCAGCCTGGACTACAGAGTGAGTTCCAGGAAAGGTGCAAAGCTACACAGAGAAACCCTGTCTCAAAAAACAAAAAACAAACAAACAAAAAAAATTGGGGTTGGGGATTTAGCTCAGTGGTAGAGCGCTTGCCTAGCAAGCACAAGGCCCTGGGTTCGGTCCTCAGCTCTGAAAAAAAAAAAAAAAAATAGAAGACCAGGGTTAGTTACCAGCCCCACATGGTGGCTCACAGCCATCTCTAACCCCAGTTCCAGGGAATCTGACACCTTCTTCTGACGTCTGCAGCACCGGGCACACAGGTGATGCACAGACACAGATGTCCATTGTGTAACGTGTTGGAACCACACAGAGGTAAAATATCAGTGGCAGCAGGAGATCTTGGAAGCTGTGATCTTTGTTCTCTGAGGGATGCAGTGGGATCAGATGTGAGTCATTTGACCACAAATCTGCCCTCTGAAGAGGGACCCACCAGTCTGCAATCACCCATCTCCCGTGAAAACCTCTGTGAAGCCATCTTGGAATGAAGGACACCAGCACCTTGCAAACCCCTTTACCCGCTCCCCCAGTAGTTAGAGACCAAAGGCACTCCTCCTAGTGACCATCTTTGTCTGAAACCAGAGAACAGGGCAGGGGCAGGTATCCCTTGCCCTAATCTGGACTGACCTATAAATGAAAGCCCACACCAAGCCTGGGCATGGTGGTGCATGCCTGTAATCCCAGTGCTAGGGAGGCAGAGTCAGGAGGGTCCGAAGTTTAAGGCCAATCTGAGCTACATGAGACTCTCTCTCAGAACAAAACAAAATTATCTAACACCCCACCCGGGGCCTGGGGCTGTGTCTTGTGAGGGGCATGAAGTGTTCCTGAAAAAACAAAAGCCTGCATGATTCAGCCTCTTGGGAAGAGATTGTCCCACTGCCTGACTTCGACACTGGCTTCTGTCCTGTGGCAGGCAGGATGACAGTCACACTAGTTTACAGCCCCATCCATGAGCTGTCCTGTTTCAGGCCCTTCACATCCTAGCCTGCACTGGTATAGATGGTCTTTTTAATTGCAATCGTTGTAACTCTTGCATGGTGGTCTCAAAGTGTGGCTTTCAGGGGTTCTCTGGGACCGTGTCTTCCTGTGCTTACTCCCCATCCATTTGCCTTTGGTAAATAGTGCTTCTGATATTTACTCCCACCTGGGTTGGTTGTTTGAACAGCGCTGAGAACATGTGTGTACTTCCACATGTCCTGAAACCCCCGACACACTCTGCTCGGATCGCACTCATAAGTCTATGCCAAATGCAAGAGCCTCATGGATTTTCAGTTTCTCCTAGACGGTTGTCAGAACTCATGTAGATATCTATGATCCTTTTATAAGACTTGTCCCAAGCCAGGGCCAGCCATCGGCCCTCAATAAACCAATTACAAGAGCTGAACAAAAAGCAGACAGCAGATAAAGGAGATTTATTCAATGTGACCACTTGGAAAAAGGGACAAAGAAATCCATTCAATGAACCCCCCAGGTGGGTCCTCAGGGTCCTGAGGCTGAAGTTTAAATGGAGGCCAAGGATATGCACATCTAAACAATCCTGGCCGAGGTGTGGCCCCGCCCACCACTGACCCATCATTGTCTGGGCTTCATCTTATTCTGTAAGGATGACAAGTTAGAACTGTGTGGAGTCTCTTTCAGGGAGACAAGATTGCCCTCTGACTGGCATCTGTTCTTTCCCCAGTATCAGATTCCTGGAGAAATTCCTGGTTTGGGTGGAGGGTCCATTGTTTCAGTAGTCTGATAGAGTGAGAGACACAAGCATCCCTTTAGATTATCTGCATTTCTTCCGGGTCTATAACGTTTCTAACCAACTTTTGCTGATAGTCATGTGTATTAGCAAAGTTCTTTTGGGAAGACAGGAGTTGCCAATAGTCTGGCACATTTGCTAAGTGTATCCTTTTTGTGAATGGAGTTCTTTCTGCATCATCCACTTTAATGTTAAAGAACAGATCCCAGGAGCCTGTCTTCCTTCATGCCAACATCACGTTATCCAAACAATCTCTTGGCACCTTCTTGACTGTTTGAAGTTGTATTGTCTGTTCTAGGTCTGTGGTGGTTTGAATGAGAATGGTCCCATAGGCTCATATATTTTGAATCCTCGGTCCTTGTTAGTGGAATTGTTTGGGAAGTACTGGGGGTGTGGCATTGTTGGAGGTGTGTCACCAGGGGTGGGTTTTGAGATTTCAAAATCCCACAACAGACCCAGTCTCTCTTTCTCTGCCTCCTGCCTGTGGGCCAGATGTGAGCTCTCAGCTACTGCTCCAGCACCATGCCTGCACACCTGCATGCCTGCACACCTGCATGCCTGCCACCACACTCCCTGCCATGATGATAATGGACTAGATCTCTGAAACAGTAAGCAAGCCCCCAGTTAAATGCTTCCTTTACAGTTTGCCTTGGTCATGGTGTCTCTTCACAGCAATAGAACTAAGACAAGGTTCTTCCAAGTTCCACAGGAAATGTAGAATATTCCTTTTGCTTTCCACGGAGATTCTTTATTGAACTCCAGTCAGGACTGAACTGATTCTACAGTTCAATTTGAGAAAACTGACATGTTGTTTGTATTGAAGCATCCAACCAGTAAGTAGCTGTGAGCCTCCTGATGTGGGTGCTGGGGACTGAACTCAGTCCTCGGCAAGAGCAGTGTGTGCTCGTAACTGAGGTGCTGCCTCCCCAACCCCAGCTCTCTCTCTCTGTCTCTGTCTCTCTCTCTCTCTCTCTCTCTCTCTCTCTCTCTCTCTCTCTCTCTCTCTCTCTCTCTCTGTATCCTTGGCTGTCCTAAAGCTTGTACTATAGACCAGGTTGGCTTTGAACTCAGAGATGTGTCTACCTCTGCCTCCCAAGTGCTGGGATTAAATGCACCACCACCACCACCTGACTCCTCTCTCTTTTATACATATTTTATATTCATTTATTTATCCTGTGTGTGGAAGAGTGTGGGTGTTGTCATACAAGTGCCATTGCACATGTGTGGAGGTCAGAGGACAACTTGTAGGAGTCAGTTCCCCCTTTCATCGTGTGGGATTGAACTTGGGTCCTCAGGCTTGGCAGCAAGCACCTTGGCCCACAAGCCATCTCCCTAGGTCTCTTTTGTACACTCTTGGAGATTTTGTCCGTACAAGAACACATCAGCCACAGAGAAAACACCTTTCTTTCCAGTCTGGGTGCCTTTCCCGGCTCTTGCCCAATTCCCCTAGCTCAAGCATCCATAGATGTACCAGGATGGACACTCACGTCTCGTTCCTGGCCAGGGGTGTTGGCTGCTCTTTTAGCATCAAGCACACTGTCCCGTCAGCCCTCAAAGGAATCAACTATCCGGCTGAGGGAGTTCCCCTCTACTCCTGACTTGGCGAGAGCTTGTGTTGTCAAAGGACGTTTGACTTCATGAATATTAGAATTTCTTCTTCTAATTTGTTCAACGGTGACTTACATTGTCTGACTCTTAAAAACAAACTGAACCTTGTACTCTGTTAGATCCTCTCTGGTTATGATGTAAGAACTGTTTTACACGTTCTTAGGCTTGATTCATTAAGATATTGTTTGGAAATGTCCCTTCTTCGTGAGTAAATGTTTCCATTCTTGTGAAGTCATCTTCTAGTTTGAACGTCAGTACGTTGGAAGTGTCATGGCGCACGTGAGGGGACAGAGGGCGCTGTGGAGTCGTTCCCGCCTTTCACCTGAAAGTGGGCTCTGAGGAGCAGACTCTGGTCACCAGGCTGGGGTTACAGGAGGCTGTGAGGTCCTAACGTGGGTCCTGGGAACTGAACTCAGGTCTCCTGTAAGGGCAGTAGCACCTCTAAACACTGAGTCATCTTTTCACCGCCACCCCAGATTCCATTTCATCACCTCTTTTAGCTTGTCAATTATGTTCTTAAATTAAATGGTCACCCTCAAGTTTGCAACATGTGATAACAGCTAATCTGTCTTCAGATAACAGGGTACCACTTTATGTGTGGTGTGAGCAACTTGTGTAGCGGTCTTACCAATTCCTCCCTCTGTCCCTTAGGACAATGTTGTCGTTCATTTCACTTAGACATAGGCGATAATCACGGAAGACTCCGGTGCCGTGATTATTTTAAACAAGAAGTTATCTTTTGGATCAGTTGAGAATAAGAACAACTGTCAGTTTCTCTTTATCTTTTTTTTTTTTTTTTTTTTTTTTTTTTGGTCTTTCGAGACAGGGTTTCTCTGTGTAGCTTTGCGCCTTTCCTGGAACTCACTTGGTAGCCCAGGCTGGCCTCGAACTCACAGAGATCTGCCTGGCTCTGCCTCCCGAGTGCTGGGATTAAAGGCGTGCGCCACCACCGCCCGGCCTCTTTATCTTTTATATGAGTCCTTTCGGAGATCTGTGTTTTTGACGCATGTCAGTGTGGAATGCCACCCTCTGAGCATAACTTAGTTATTACCATCTTATCCAGAGAAGCAGTAATTGCTCCAAGGAGACCAGGGCTGTTGAGTTCCCTCATAGAAGGAGGGGTGTGGAGGGTCACGAGACCCTCACCGGGAGTCCAGCCGCTCATTTCCTGCGGCACCTGTCTCTCATCTCCATGTAATTTTGTCCCCGTGGTCTCGGGGTGCTAAGGGGCAGAGCGTTAACTGAGGAAGGGGCCTCCCCCTGTGCGGCTTTGGGGACATCATCATCTATGCTGAGTCACCCACGCTTCTGAAATTCAAATGCTCATTGGTTCACCAGGCAAGATGCTGTAGCCGTTGCTTTGGCCTGTCATTGGCACTCCAGCTGGCATTTGTTCACGTCCCCAGGAAAAGCTGACACCCCCGTCATTTTCCTTCTTGGTGATAAACTCGTGTTATTCTATACCCAGTCCAGTAGCTCTGATCAGCATGACATTCTCTCCCTTTTTGTGCTTATCCACGAAAACCTTCATTTAACTTTCACGTCTGCAGAATAATGCCCACTTATGGAAAACAAATTTCTGGGCTCCACCAAAAACCAAAATAAAACCAACCAACCAACAACAACCAAAACCGAAGTTTTTGTGTTGTTGGTCTTGCCCGG